ACAATGGGTATAAATCTAATTGAACCAATTATCCCCCAATCCGTTTTAATTTCTGGTCCAAAACTCTCCACGAGCGCGATGCACGGAGATAGCTGTATGACCAAAGTTAGTGAGTCCTAAGTGCTCCAATCTTCAAATTCGTGTGGGGGATGACAGTGGGGGAGTGAAGCGAGGTTGGTGGTTGTGAAGTCCGGTGGGCGTGGTGGGCGAAAGGTGGTGCTATGGAGGAGGAAAAAAAATGACTATAGTTTGGAAAATGGGATTGAAATTTGGTGGGGTAGGTGGTATGGTGGGAGGGGAGTGGTAAATTAAGGTTATCAATGAGGTTTTAATATAATACCGAATTTTTGAATAAATAAACTGTAAACCTAATTTTTAAAAAGTAATCTTTAAATGTCTGTTTTTTTATAATTTCCCTTTTATTGTCCACTTGCCAAGTCCGTGCACTTTGACCGCCTTTCGCCCCTTCGCATCTAGTTGTAAATAACGAAATTCAAAGCCCAAATTTCAAAATATAATTTTTTTTAAGGAAACTTACAAAAATAGCCTTTAAATTATGGGCATTTTGAAAAATCATATGAAAAGTGTTTTGAAAGTAAAAAATATCATACAAAGTTAAGTGAGACTTCTAAATTATCTATTTGAAAGATTAAATTATCTCTGTTTTTATGGCATTAAATATGAAAATAATTCAATAAATGCCGTAAATTCACAAGGCGAAAACAATTAAAAAAAATGTGAAAAACGCCGATCTAAACTTTAGAATAGATTCAATAAAAACATACCTTTATTTTAGGAACACAACACGGACAAAAATTCAAAAAAAGTTACAAGTTCAAAAAAGCGGGAAAACGCTTTAAAGAGTAAGTAACAACAATCAAAACCTTAGAATAAGTTTAGGGGCGATTAATTTTCATCTACATGTTGTCTCTTTGTTATTATGTTTCACTTCTATTAATGAAACGTGGAATATAACTTTGATTTAGGAACACGACACCTTATAAGTTAGAAGTGATAGATATTTAAAAAAAGTGAAAAATAAAAATAAAAAAAGTGAGAAATAACAATAAAAAATAATATATTCAATGGATGGTTGATTTTCTTCTACATGTTGTCTATTTGTGATTATATTTCACTCGCATTAACTAAATATTGAACATAACTTTATTTTAGGAACACAAAGACCTATAACATGGAAGTGACATAAATTCAAAAAAAAAAAAAAATTACAAATTCAAAAAAGAAACAAATGTATGTTCATGCAAATAATTAAAAACCACCCTACTGTATGCACGTGAAATACATGAACCTTCACATATAGTCATATAAGAAATCATACATTGCCATCAATCTGCATTGCCTAACTGATCTACGCCCTATCATCCTCCACCCCAACTGAAAAACCACCATGTACGACATCAATATGTCAATTGATATTGTCGTACTTTCGGAAATTCTTTTTCTCCTTGCTAGTCTGTATCTATATGCACTTAATTAATGTACAGAAATTTGACTTTTGACTTGCAGATCCCCGACAACGGACCTGGAATTACAATTTTATGGGAGTTAAAACACACTGCTAGCATGGAGTGAAACTTGGAGCACCTCGGGAGTCTTATCACGAGGATCATAGGCCCATTTTCCACTCTTTCAGCTGTAGCATGAAAATGTTCACGGAGTACAAATTCTTGTTTCACATCGAAGTCCCAAAAAGAAATGACGATTTCATCTATGGAGGAATGGAATGTCAGAGATTTATGGTACTTGCATTAGTTATTATTATCTTGATGGAAGAAAAGAAAAAAATTGTTCCAAGTGTTCGACTATGGTTAGCATATAAAATATATGTGTCAAAATTAGTATTGCTTTTGAGATCGAACTAGGGATTTAAGGCCAGTTCCAGCCAAGAATATGCAAGGCCGGCATGGCTCATATGAACCTTCCAGTTTCTAATGTGGAAATGGTCAAGAAATCTCACTTTTATGAAGGTGATACACCAACACAGACTTAACAGATAATCTAACACGACCATGAAGATCACAAGATTTCATCGGAAAACCTATTTTGACACATTTTTACAGATAAAAAAGAAAGGATGAACAAACAACAATCCATCATTCGCAGTAGCAGAGTTTTGATTACCATATACACAATAAACAATCCGACCTAAAAAATAATGGGGCAGCAATGTAATTGTTCGTGACCAACGGCACAAGTCACTGCAGTGTACATGTTATTTGAAAACGTCTCAAGATCTGTGATCATTATGCTCACTCAATCTTCTAATATGTAGTCTAAATCAAGAAATATGAGAAAATGTTTGATGCAACGCCCTTTAATATAATAAGCATTCATGTACCTGTATTTCCTGGGGAAAACTATTTTTTCCGCAAGGAAGGCTAGCTGTAGATTAAGATATGCAGCTAGGACTTTGCATTTTCAATTTCTTCTTTTGGTTCTTTTTCCTCTGAGAAGAAACCAGGGCTGTCTTCAGCACCCGAGTCTGTAGATGCAATGATCTTGAACATTTCATCGTTTTCCAGATTGGCAATCTTTTCATTGTCTCCTTTAAGTAATTCGACGACTTCCAGCATAGTTGGTCTCTTCTCTGGTCGGTTATGAGCACAGACTAGCCCAACAAAGACAAGCCTTTTCAGTTCTTCTTCAACATACTTTCCCTCAAGCCTTGGGTCTGCAAGTTCATCAAGTTTTTTCTTGCATGCCAGTGGTAGGGCCCAATCTGTAATTGCCTGCTTCATTGTTGAACTGAGCTTCTCCAGAGGTTTCTTGCCACTAGCAATCTCGAGCAAAAGAATGCCGAAGCTGTAAACATCACAGCTCTCCGATGCCTTACCTAACATTGCATATTCTGGAGCAAGATAGCCGAAAGTACCTTTAACTTTAGTTGTTACATGTGTTGCTCCATCAGGTATAAATTTTGCAAAACCAAAATCAGCAACCTGGGCTTGAAAATCTACATCCAGCAACACGTTGCTAGCTTTAATGTCTCGATGGATTATGTGTGGGGTTGCATGGTGGTGTAGATAGCTAGAATACAACAAAATGTTATATCAAACAAGAAAAAGGGATAGAAGAGGGGAGAAAATGCATATAGTACTCACGCAATGCCCTCAGCAGCTCCAACGGCAATTTTCATCCGCCGATTCCAATCAAGTTGGCATTCAGAAGAATGTTGCCCATGAAGATGAGAAAGTAAGCTCAGATTAGTCATGAAATCATACACAATCAGACGCTCCAGCCCTTCTGCACAATAGCCACGTAATGTTAGCAAGTTCTTGTGCCGTACACGAGCCAGCACCTCGACTTCAATGGAAAATTCCATCTCTGCTTTGTTACTCCAAGACTTTAACCTTTTAACGGCTATCTGCAAAACTATCTGTCAGAAAGAAATCTAGCCCCTATTTGGTGTGGATTAAAATCAATTTTTTAGATTAAAAAGTTGTGGGACCTATTAAAATCTGAATTTTAATCACTACCAAACTGGGACCTAGTGTCTAGAATAGGACAAAGCTGGACTTAGCGTAGCCTAAGCACAGATAGGAAATGTTTCGACAATATCTGCTTAGATATGGCATAAAATGAGGGTGCTAAAATGAGAAGAAAGTAAGACTGAAGATAACGGCAAAATGTGCCATTTTAGATAGCAACCAACTTTATACTTCCGTTCACAAAGGAAGCATGAATATTATATTGAACAACAAGTTTTCCAAGTGGAAAATTTATGCATGCCCCATTTTGTCCAGTCACGGATCTGTACAACCTTGATCATGGCAAAATACAATATCAAAATGTTTCAAACCCCAAAAATTTTGACACTACGAGACAAGGTAGAAGTATTATGCACTGGTGGATTAATGGCATCCTTTTTAGATCACTCATGAATACTTGAAACAAAATGAACACGGCTGGAGAAGTGTTAATGGGTGCTTCAAAATTCAACCTTTGATTTAGTTTAGAACCTAAAATTCAACCTTAGATTTAGTTTAGAACCTACACAGTGTAAATGTGCATATAAGATATCCATGGCTAGGGCCAACGTGGTTGAAGGGTGGAACTAGAAGGGGACCATAAGTTTTAATGTCTAAGAGAAGGGTAAATTCATCTGAAAATTTTGACTTCTGTATAAGGCATTGATTTAACATTAAGGTGTGGGAAAACCACTCCTTCAGCAAATGGAACAATGAAATAGTCAACGTGAAAGGTAATGTAAACATAAAAGTCTTATTATAGTAGATTAAGCATATAACTTACACGTAGAGGTAACGAACACACTGGTCCTCACCTACCAATATTATAAACAAAGAGGCAACTAAGAGGACCAAGGAAAGCCAATCACGTAATCTGTTGATAAACCTCACTACATCTATGCACTGTATACTAGATATTTTTAACCTTCAAAGAGTATATATTTGAGGTGGAGGTGACATCCATTGATGATAAACTAATGGAATGATGACTCAGGTGGCTCGGTCATGTTTTGCATCGACTCAAAGAGGCTACCAAACACAAGAGTGACTTGATTTCAATAGTATATTAGAAGAGAAAGTGGGAGATCAAAACTGACATGGCGTGTTTCAGTTGCTAAGGATTTAGTTGCTTTAGATCTTCCAGCAGAAGTAGTAATTAGCAGAGCACAATGGTGAAAACGGGATTCATACAAATGACTTCAAGTTTATTGGGAATAAGAATCAGCATGTTGTTGTTTTCGTACAAAATATACATAAGATCATAATGTCACTTGTCCTTGGGAATGAAATATGATATGAATTGACACGAACATAATTATACAAGGATTACTATGGACTCCAAGCTATTCAATTTTTAGTTTCACAAGCTCAAATTCATGTAACCAAAGAAGAAATCGAAGCAACAAAGCAATTCCTATGCGAAAATGTTAGTTATCTTATCCAAAATAAGCCCCTGTTTGATGGCCATTATAAAGAGAAATTGGGGGAAAATGATGTTTTGAATAGTGATTTTTTGGAGAATGTGGTTAAAAAGTAAGGAAAAACTATAGGTTTACATGCAAAATATTTTATTGTGTGAATATGTGGATAAAAATGAGAATGAAAAATAAAGAGTTTTAATTTAAACAGAGTCAAACAAGTGCTAAGTGAAATGCAACAGATGAGTGCATTGCGGCACACAACAATCATACATGGTATATCAATACTTAAGGTAATCAACTTAACCTCGTATCAACATCAAATCTTAATCGATGTCCAACTGTTAGTAACAAGTCAACATGCAATTCTGAATTTACTAAATATAGATTTTACCCTCACCAGTAAACTCATTCACCTAACCTGCCTCTACTAAATAACATCAACCTAGTATGCCAGTCATTGTTTCTCATCCATTTTGCTTCATTTATCAATAAACTATCCTAAGAATAAACATACTGGGCATGCGTGGTAAGGACATTCTACCTTATCAAACAATCCAAAAAGGAATTAAAAGTTTCAACCAAATAAATGATAGGAAAAGTATTTTAAAATTACCTGGGAACCATCCCATAGCTGACCCCAATAAACACTGCCAAATGCACCTTCCCCAAGCTTGTTATCATAGTTAAAATTGTTGGTAGCTAATTGAAGTTCTTTCAGAGAAAAAATCCTCCATGTTGCCTCCTTTTTCCCTTGCTTTTTCCTGTACAAAATTCAAAATCCCACTAACCACATTTCCAAAACATTATTTCAAAAAATAAAATGAAAAACAAGCACCATTATTTTTGCTAAAAAATTCCATAACCCCCCAAGTTTGACCCGACCTATTGAGTATTGGTTCCATCTTAGTGGCTGTTTAAGCACACCAATCTTAAAATTCGACCGCTCTTTTTACATAAACACAAACCCCAACCCTTTCAAACATAAGAAGAAACAGAGGCACATACCGATCTGAATTCTTAACACAACATAACATGGAGGAAAAAGCCATAGTCTTTCGAACAACCCACTAGGGAAACCCTCTTTTTCTGCAAAATTTCAGATGGATTCGTAATGGATAATAAAAGCAACCATCAAAATCTTCCGTCTACCATAAACCCATCACTGTAACAGCTTTCTCCAATGAATTTTCTCTCAATCTACTCACTTTTACAAGAATCTTCACCCTTGTGATAGAAGCCAATGTTATAACTGTGAACAAATTGCTGTACATAGGGAATATTAATTAATATCAATCAGAGTAAAAAGGAAAAAGGGCAAAAAAGGGGGAAAAATAAGGTTTTTATTAGGAAATGTGAAACGTAAGTTTTAATGGAATACGACGGCGACTGTGTCGGTGCCTGCGTGCGACTTTGGATGTTGGGTCGCTTCTTCTGTTTCAATTTTCAAACCATGTTTGGATTTTGAATTAAGCTCCTTTGTCAGAAGAAACTTATCCACTCGGTTGATCTACTCTCACATTCGATTGGGATTCATGCCGACCCCACATGAATAAAAAATGCAAAAACATACCCCCACCCACCCCTATTGTGTGTGTATGTCACCTAGGGTGTCAAAAAAATTCTAGCACCCTAGCATCGTCCATGGATTTTTGGGGAAATGATTGATTTTTAAATAGTGATATAATGGAAAATGTGTGGTCAAAAAAGA